ACGTCAGTATTTTAATCTACAAGATGAGCAAAAATTTAACGATACTTAATATTTGAGTCTTTGAGTCAGTTTGATCACGTAAGGTTGTTTGTTATTTCTTTTCTGATAGGCTAGAAACATCTCATTCCCTTCATTCTCTTCCTTTAAGCACAATGGTTGGAATTGGATCTGGGAATGTTTAATATCAGTATCTGTCCAGGACCACAGGGTTTGGACTGGTGTTGCATTCTGTCTGGGAAACATAAGGTTCTGTGGTCCCTTCATGACTTGGCTCAGCTCCCTGAGTGACCCTGTTGCCTGATTGCTGTAGGATCCGCCTGATGGACAGATTGTCCAATGAATCCATTATGTTGGTGGTGGAGCTAGTACAAGGAGCTCCAGAGCAGCTGCTGGCACTCACCCCACCTCATCGAGCAGCCCTGGCAGAAAGAGCACTACAAAACCTGGTAAGAGTCAAACCTACCTGACTCATATCTACTGCCCTTGGCAATCCTTGACCCTCAGATGATGCCCTATAACTGTTTCTAGGCCCAAGGCCCTCTTCCCTGCTGCCACACAGGTTCCTGTCTCCAATGCTCTAGCCCTCAGATTTGCCTCTAGGTTCTATTTCTCAATAGCCTGTTTCGTGCTTCTTATCCTCACCCCTTGGATTCCACAAAATCCCTTGGACTTCTTTTTTTAGTCTTCTTGCCTGCTTCCATCTGGGTTCATTGTTTAAGAAAATAAATAATAGCTTTGAGCATCAGAGTCCTGTGATGGGAGCTGGAAGAAAGGGAAGGTCGAGGGACTTTGACTGCCTTGATTGAAGACTGATATTAAGAGGCAGAGGTGGCATTGTCCTTATGCCCTCTCCTAGGCTCCAAAAGAGGCCCCAATCTCAAGGGAAGTACTGGAGGCATTGGGCCCTTTGGTTGGATTCCTGGGGATAAAGAGCACACGGCGGATCCCCCTACAGATCCTGCTCTCCTATCTCAGTCAGCTGCAGGACTACTGCCTGGGAGAGCCATTTGCTACAGAGCTGGGATGGCTGCTGTTGCAGGAACCTCTTCTTGGGTATGAATTATTTAGAAACTTCAAATTCTAACTCATCCTGCCCCTAAGGCCAACTCCTCAATCATCATCATCAGTGGCAGCCCCTCCCATGAGGTCCCTTGGAGCCCTGAGTCCCCAATTCTACCATGTCCTCGTTTCCTCTTCCTTTTCTTCACAGTTCCCTTAGTGCCTCAGTCCCTGATCTTCTTCCTGTCCCCCAGGAAGCCAGAGTTGTGGAGCCAGGATGAAGTAGAACAAGCTGGACGCCTAATATTCACTCTGTCTACTGAAGCCATTTCTTTGATCCCCAGGGTAAGGTGAAGTAATAAAGAAGGGTGTAAGAGCATAGAGGGGACTGATGAGCTGGTTTTGGGGACCTAAGGCCAAGGAGGTTGGAGGTAAAGAATGTCAAGCCTGGATCTGGGGGAGATGGCTAAATTGAAACAGGATTTTGGAATTATAGCTGCAGTAGCTGACCCTGCCCAGGTCTCTCATCCTGTCTCTACTGCCTTATGCAGGAGATCTTGGGCCCAGAGACTGTGGAGCGACTTCTAGAGAGACAGCAGAGCTGGGAGAAGAGTCGAGCTGGACAACTGTGTGGGAGACCACAACTGGCTCCCAAAAAAGCAGCCCTGGTATCTGGGATTGTGCACCCTGCTTCAGAGGATTTCCCAGGTGAAACTACCCAACAATTCATACCTCTAGTAGGGTGTATAGGAAAGAATATCAAGCAATGCATCCAGAAATCTGGGCTGTATGTGTGCTGTGTGTTTTCAGCAGATTTGCAAACTTTTGCTTTCTGGGCTTTGGTTTTCCTACCTATAGAACAAAGAGGTTAGAAGGATAATCTCCAAAGTTTCTTCTAATTCTAGGGTTCTATAGTTTTGGGAGTTTATAATCCATAAAGTGTTTGGCCCAAAATTCTCTTTTTCCTACTTTCTTATTCCTGTCAACAGATAACTCAGCTGTAGGCTTGGCTAAATGTGGAAATCCTAAAATGTAGGAAGGAGCTAGGGACCTGGGTTCTAATCCTAGATCTGCCATTAAATCCCTGAGAAACCTCCTCTAGGGCTCAGCCTTCCCATATGTAAAACGAGGAGCTTGTCCTCTTTTGCCCCTTATTGTTCTACTATCCTTAGGAGCTCTGGTAGCATAGTGCCTAAGGCACTTGACTGCCAACCAGAAGGCTGGCGGTTCAAACCCACCAGCCACTCCTCGGAAGGAAGGTTGGGCAATCTACTTCCGTAGAGATACTGCCTCAGAAACCCAAGGAGGGGTCGCTATGAGTCGGGGCAGACTCGACGGCATAAAACAACAACAACAACATCCTTTGAGCTATAAATCGCACACTATGATAACCCCCCTACCCGTGTTGCCCACACTACCCCATCTTCCAAATATTACATATTCTATATATAAAGGGGTTATTCTATATCTAGGCATATTTCAGCACTACATTGATCCTCTGGCTCCCCCTTCCCCTTCAGAACCTGTGCCAAATTGTGCAGATATACGGGGGACGTTCCCAGCAGCCTGGTCTGCAACCCAGATTGCAAAGATGGAGCTCTCAGACTTTGAGGACTGCCTGGCACTCTTTGCAGGAGACCCTGGACTTGGGCGTGAGGAACTGCGAGCAGCCATGGGCAAGGCAAAGCAGGTTGGAGATGAATAAACCAACTGGAGTTTGAGGTGGAAAAACATGGGGAAGCTAGTTGGGTGTGGTGTGAGACACAAGGTAATGGAAAATTGGTGAGGGGAAGGGTAATAGAAGATAAAAAGTTAGACTGCTTTAACAAGTGGGAAGTCAGAGAGGGCAAATATTGAGGAAAGGGAGCTAGTACAATGAGTAGAGACTAGAACAGTGCTTAGCAAGTTTTAGTGTGTATCAGAGTCATCTGGGGACCAGGTTTTTAAAATGCTGATGCTAGGTCCCATGCTAGACTGACTAAGAATTTCTGGAGATGGTCATCTGCATTAGAACTGGCACCCCTCATGAGTCTGATGCACATAGAAGTTTAGAACTCATGAACTAGACTCTGCTGTTCTTTTTCACTGAAACTCTAAGGTCTTTCAATAACACTTTAAAAAAACCTTTCATTTCACAGTTAACAAAGACCCAGAGAAGGCAAGTGACTTGCCTAGAGTGACAGGGTAAAGATCAGAGGCAAGACTAAGATCCAGCATTCTGACTCCTAGTCCAGTGCTTTTTCAATTCACATTGTCCCTTCTTTCTTCTAGTTGTGGGGTCCACCCCGAGGATTCCGTCCTGAGCAGATTCTGCAGCTGGGTCGGCTCTTAATAGGACTAGGAGAGCGGGAACTACAGGAGCTGATGCTAGTGGACTGGGGAGTGCTGAGCACCCTAGGGCAGATAGATGGCTGGAGCTCTGTCCAGGTGACACCTTGCCTCCTCCCTACCCTTTCCCCACAACACCTATTCCATAGACCCAGGTCTTGAGGTCATCTGAAGCCCAAGGAATTTTTTCCTGTGACCCTGCCTGGCCATTCTTTCTATCTTCATACTCTGTACTAGTAACCTCACAGAGTCTGTGCTTTATTCACCCTAAGGCCCTGGATACATAATAATCCTTCCTGTCTCTTCCCTGTTGGCCTCTTTTTTTTCTATCCTTTTTTTTTTTTTTAAATCCTCAACCTTCCCCATGGCTATTGGATCTTTGGGTCTTAATAATCAGATAATATAATCCAGTAGCATCTATCATATCTCTAATCTCTTCTTCTTCCATTAACTTCCTATGATATTTCTTCTTGTCCTATGTATTCTCTGCCTCACCCCTCAGCTCCGGATTGTGGTCTCCAGTTTCCTGAGGCAAAGTGGCCGGCACGTAAGCCACTTGGACTTCATTCACTTGACAGCGCTGGGTTATACGCTCTGTGGACTGCGACCAGAGGAGCTACAACATATCAGCAGTTGGGAGTTTAGGTCACCTGTGGAGGGGGGTGTGAGTGGTCATGCTTAAGGTGAAGATGGGCTCACCCAGAAAGTAAAGGGTCATGGAGTAAGGGGACTCATTTGAAGCGTGGTTTATATTTATTGTCTATTGTCCTATCGGGTGAAGCTGAATTCTTCTTTCTTTTCTTCTCACTCTTCCACAGCCAAGCAGCACTCTTCCTGGGTAACCTGCCTCTCCAGTGCTCTGAGGAGCAGCTAGAGGTTCTAGCCCAGCTCCTAGTGCTGCCTGGTGGCTTTGGTCCAGTCAGTAACTGGGGGCCTGAGATCTTCACTGAAGTTGGAACAATAGCAGGTGGAAAGGCTGGGAGACTGTTGGTGCTAGCTGTCAGGGCCTGGTCTTCATACTAGGGGATGGATTGGGTGGAGACTACTCTGCAATTCATAAGGTGGGGATCTGAGAAAGTGTTTAGGTAAAAAGTTGGAGACGTGTTGGGAAGGTCTATGGGTAGAGTGTTTTGGGAGTAATTGGAAGAGGAGGTCTGTGGATTTGAAGAGAGGAAAGGCCAGTCTAAGACAAGATATGGAGGTCTATCTGACTTGCTTCAACAGCTGGCATCCCGGACCTCGCAATTTCAGCACTGCTGTGGGGACAGATCCAGGGCCTTACCCCGCTCACCATTTCTGTCATCCCTGCTCCTAAATTTGCTGTAAGTACTGATAAACTGGGGTCTAGGGTGACCACAGTAAAGCCAGGGCCTGGTAGAGACTATATTGGATGTACTGATTCCTGTCTTAACCCCCAGGTGGTGTTCAGCCCCACCCAACTATCTAGTCTCACCAGTGTTCAGGCTGTGGCTGTCACTCCTGAGCAAATGGCCTTTCTGAGTCCTGAGCAGCGACAAGCAGTTGCATGGGCTCAATATGAGGGGAAGGAAAGCCTAGAACAGCAGGGTGAGTTCTCAACTGCACAGTTTTATCCTCCATCTTCTGAACCAGCTGTCTGGTTCTTAGAGAGATCCCTGAAGTGAAGGCAGAGAGCTAGTATTTAGGTGGGAACGGCTCGTGGGGAGTACAGTTGTGATATTGTTCCCTTTCCTTGTCTCCTTATAGGTCAAAGCACAGCCTGGGGCCTTCAGGACTGGTCACACCTGTACTGGGTCCTGGCGTTGACCATATGCTTTCTTGGACAACTGCTCTGAAACTGTCTGTACAGTTAAGGAGGAAGACTGTTGGGAGAGAAACCTTAAGTCATAATGAATAAAGTGCAAATGGAAGTGCCTCCTAATTATTCTCAGGAGACTGATGAGGAATATGGGTAAAATGCTAATGTTTTCCACCCACCTGAAACTCAATGTTCCTGGCATTCCATATCTGGAGTCTCTTTCCATCACATATAACCCCACTGTCTCTTTTCCTTTCCTGGAGGCTGCTCCCTCCTCACCAAATCATCAGAAATAACACAGATAGCTGGACCATAGCAAGGAGTCTTTACTAGGATAGGAGCAAGTCCAGGACGAATAGAATCAGCCACCATTACAATAGGAAGAAATTCTGAGGGTATTGAGTCATTTGTTAGGGATGGGGAGTTAATGCTTGTTGTGGATGAGAGGTGGAGGAATGCGAATATCCTGGCCTCTCTCCAGACGCCGCTCACAGTCGATCAAATAGTTTACTCCGTCGATGACGAGTTGCACCAGCTCCACCTGAAGGACACTAACCCTTGATTTCTGGTTCCCACAACCTAAATTTCTTTCTCTAGCACTGATTTTCCCGCTCTGGAAACTCATGTCCAATTACATCCCCACTCAACCTGAATTTAATTTCAGATTCTGTTACATTCCTGAAGCTCATATTCTCCCATATTTCAGCTCTTACATACCTCCCATCCCCCTCCCTCTAATCACTAAGGATCTCACCTCTGACTTGCCCAGTCTATCCAAGTTAGAGATGTCAAAGATGCTGCCTGTGGCAGCTGTGTCCACTCCTCCAGTACCACGCTTTTGTAGTCTTAGGTTCTCTAGGATCTTTGGGAAGCGGCTGTCCTAGAGGGGAGATAGAAATGGGGGTTAGGGTCAATCGAGACAGAGAGTGGCCCTACCTAAAAGAGTCCTAGATCTGCACAGAGCTCTTTCCCCTTACCCTTTAGCCATAAGCCATAATACTTCTAGTCCCTTTCCAAAGTGCCCATCCCCTTACCATCCATACCCACACCCCTCTCCAATCCCACAACCCCTTTACTTTGCTTAGCAAGGGCAGTTTGATGTGTACTCCTGCCCGGAGTCCAGTGCCCAGGTTAGATGGACAGGTCAAGATATATCCCAAACGCTCATTCCACATGAACTCCCAGCCACGCTCCTGGATCAACCGCTCCACCTGAATTCACAAAGGCTCTGTTAGTGAAAAATCAGGGGTATATGGATCCTCCCTTACCTAGACCACAAGAACTCTTTCCACATCTAGAACCAGAAACTTGAGGGTATGAGAGAATGATGTTATTTTTTTTTTCTTCTTGTGAAATGATTTGTTATTGTTATCATGTATGCAAAGTAATTTTGATATCACAAGTCAGTTGTGGAAAATTTTCTTGCGTGTGGAGAGAAGAGGAGAAACTTGAGGGAGTGATGATCTAGGGAATGATCTAGGGAAATAGCAGAGGTGGTAACTGAATTGAGAGAGGATTGATTATTCAAAGAGTTCTGCATGCTAATAAGCCTCAAGCTTGCAAGGATTCTTTCAGATAGGAAATGAGAGGGTGGGCCTTGCAACAGGAAGAAGAGCCTTCTCTTAGCTGTGGAAAGAATACATGTAAAAAAGCAGAAAGGTGAAAACAAAGCAGAAAAGCCAAAGACTCACAGATGTGTGTATGTGAAGTATGTTTTTCTTTCACTGAAGCATCCTAATCATGAAAATGACTATTAGAACTGAAGAGACAGAGGATGCTTTAGAGTAATTGACATGAAGACCACTATCCAATGTGAGTAAAGGAGTCCCTGTTTATAGCTAAGAAAAAAACACGGCATAGGAGGATCTCTTACATATTGTAATGGGAAAACCCTTCCATCTAGAATAACAATAACAGTAGCCTGCACTTTTTAAGTGCTTACTATGGGTCAGGTACTCTACTAAGTACTTTACATGTATTATCTCATTTCATCCCTATAACAACAACCTAAAAAGTAGAAAACATTATCCCAGTTTTACAGATGAGGAAACAGATGCATATAATTTAAAAAGTACTTCTCTGCCCATTTACATTCAGAATATGTTATTTATTACTTGCCAAAACAGCAGAAACTTCCCAGCAAGATTCTAAAAGGAAGAGAGAAGCTCTCTCTTTCTCTCTGTAAGTCCAAAATACAACTGTATACGTGACAACATACAGTAAGAGTTGGGTTTGTGGAAATTCTAGAATTGAATCTAGAAAACAATTGGATTGAAGACCCCTTATCTAGAGCCACACATTCTGGAAGTTAAGCCATTCCATACTCAACCTTTCCCAATCTCCCTCCCACTCTCAATTTAAAGTTTAGACATGATACCTTAGCAAGAATGATAGATTTCACAGCCAAGGTCTACCTTGGTAGCTACATTAGAATCATGAATACACCAATCTCTAACATTTTTCTCATCTTCACATCCCTTTATTCCATACTACATGCCACAGACACTGACTAACCTATCATCTCAAATCAATTATTCCTACCGCGCATTATTTGGTAAATGTTTGCTCTATTTACTTCCTTGTTGTTGTTGTTGTTATGTGCCATCAAGTTGGACCTGACTCATAGCGACCCCTTCTTGGGTTTCCGAGGCAGTATCACTATGTAAGTAGATTGCCCAACCTTCTTTCCAAGGAGTGGCTGGTGGGTTTGAACCGCCAGCCTTCTGGTTAGCAGTCAAGTGCCTTAGGCACTATGCTACCAGAACTTCCTTAGTTTCCTGGTTGGGCAATCTACTTTTGTAGTGATACCGCCTTGGAAACCCAAGGAGGGGTTGCTATGAGTTGGGGCTGACTCGATGGCACATAACAACAACAAAATTCCTATTCTTAGAGTGACCATATGTCCTGCTCAGGACAGTCCTGGTTTATATCTATTGTCCTGAAGTCATTAATAGTGCCCCTTTCTACTCTCAAAAGTGCCCAAGGTTGGTTGATAAATTATGTGGTCATTCTACCTATGCTAGTCTTTGGTTTTCCTTATGTCCTCCCACCCAACTCCCCCGTACAATCTTCTCCAACCTCTTTGAGGCCTCGGCAGAATCTTTCAAACACTCTTTTCATGTTGCCACCTTTCTCCATGGAGATGACCCGTGTATGATCTTCTTCATTCACCCAGACCAAGAAGCTCTTCTCATTGTTGTGCCTAAGGGCAGGAGGGAAGGAGGGACAGGGTTCAAGAGACAAGGCAAGAATTGGGGGATGTGTGTGTGTGTGTGTGTGTGTGTGTTTATGGGAGTATGAGAACAAAAGAAGTAAGGAGGAATCTCATACCAGATTCCACGAGCATCTGGCCAGTCTCGAGCCATTCCTGCTGCAGTTAGCAATGGGGACACAGGCTTATCAAATAGAAAGTGGTCCTGGGGAGAGCAAAGGGGCCTAGGTTAAGAATCCTTACAATAACATCTGGGCCTCTCAGAGCCCATTCAGCTCATCTGCTTCCACCTCCCCTGGCTCTTCATTTCATTTGTTTCTCCCACCCAGGTCCCTCTTAAAGACCCTCACATCAATGAGCTGCTGCTGCTCAGCCTCTGTCATCTCACTGAGCCGATAGTAACGTCCAGTTAGGTCACCCTTCAGGCCACTCAGTGCATCTACCACAACACGTTCCACCTCTCGTCGCTCTGCCCGTGTGCAAGCTGGAGGCAGACTGAGTCCTCGGATACTTCGGCCAGTTCTGACTCTTGAGGACAATACATACCTTTCATCAAAGTAGCCAGAACGAATCTGGAGGGTAAGGAACATTAATACAAGTCACAGAAAGACAATGGGTAGAACCTGGGGCCCTTGGGGAAGGAGCAACCCTATGGAATATAGGATTCCTCACTGCTTGTGCTGATCATCCATGAAGGGGGAGAAAGGGGTCTCACTGGGCAAGCCTTCCAAGTGAAGGGGCCATTGTGGACAAATCCTCCTCCAAATTGCCCACCTTGAGGCATGGCCATTCTCATTTACCCTCTCCTCCCCATATCTGCTGCTCTTAAGATAAGATTCTTTCCCTATACCAAAATTAAAAGCTCAGCAGTGTAATGACCCTGAGTCAGGAAATAATGAAGATGAAGTGTTTGGAGAAGCAAAGAGTGTTGCATACAATGGCAGTGCAAGTCAAAAGTGGGATATTTGACCCACCTTGCTAGCATCCAAGTCAGTGGTGTGCTTCATTATCCGGGGGTCATATCCATTGTGCCGCTCTTGGATTACAGGATCAAACAGCTCAGCAAATATCTGAGGGGGAATTAAAGGGGAGAGGATGCTTAAGGAAGGGGAACCCCTCCCCAGGCCTCAGTTTTGGATTAACTTCACTGGGTCAGAAAACTTGAGTACAGATGGTCCAGAGTCATGGGGGAAAATGAAGGGTCTTTGTGGCAGAGGGAGCTGGGATCACTGGAAAGATAAGTTGGGTACCAGGGAGACTCTGGGGCCCCCCCTACCTCATAGGTCTCCTCATCTCCAGCCACCATGCCCACAGTCTTGATGAAGGGGTGGCCAGGGTTGTCCACGCCAGTCTGGATACACTGATCTAGCGTCCAACCAGTGGGTGTGGTCTTGTCGCAGAGCCGGGCATAGACTGCTGGGGTCAGGTGACTGGCCATGCAGTTGTTGTGCTTTCGTAGGTCTGGGTACTCAGCGCTGGGGAGGGGGTACCCAGTAACCATGGTGGGAGGGCACAGGGAGCCTAAACCCAGTGCAGTCTTCTGGGAGTTGGCCCATTAGCCTGTCTGGCTTTGCTCCTTGGGAGGAGATGGGATTAGAGGGAGGCTAAGCAGTGGTAATCTCTTTAGAGACTTCAGGGTCTATCTTTTCCCAACAGTTCTAGCTGCCTCTGACTGGCTGGCTAAGTTCCCCCAGATATGCTCAGTTGTTTCCTCTCATGAACATACCATTGGGGTTGGGGGAGGGGAAAGACTAAGGAGGGGAATTCAGGAAATATGGGAGAGCAAGCAGGAAAACGAGATGGAGGAGAGCAAAGAGGATAGTTCCTGGTCTTCCAAGCAGGGATTTGGGCAGAGTGGATGCACCCAGAACTCTCAGGCTATAGCTTGGTTTGGGGGTGGGGTTTGTTGGTTGCAGGTTCTCAGGTACGCTTTTGCCTTAAGGTTTTGTATCTCACCCTCACTGAGGTCTCCAGAATGTACAGCCCCCAAGCTACAGGGCCTTCGAGATTATTGCTCTTCTCTGTTGTCCGGCTCCTCATCTCCACCCCCACCTTCGTTGCCATCACGACCCGCTCCCCCCGCCCCATGCCTCTGACACGGATACCTCGGGGGATACAGCCTCCGTCGTTCACTGGCAGCTCGCACAGGTTCCGGGCGAAGCAGAAATCCAGCGGCTAGAGATCCAGCTCCGGCCAAAGCAATGAGCCTGAGCCCAGGGCGGGTGGCCAGCAGGCGGGAGAAGGGACCAGCCATGGCTTGAGGGTCCAGCTACGGGATCCCGGAGCAGGAGCTTGGGCAGGGCAGGAACGAGGAGAGAGGATGCAACCCTGCAGGTCGAAGGCCACAGCAGGTCCAAGGCTGAAGCCGAAATGGGGGCTGGAGTGGAAGCTGTAGCGGGAGTGGGAGCCTGTACCAACCAGACTGCAGGAAAGGCGCAATGAGCTAGCGGCTGGCGGGCGGGAGGAAGAGGGAGGCCAGAGCCGCAGTCCCCAGGGGTGGGGCTCACGCAGGCTCCACCTCTGCCTGCTACCGCGGTAGGTGTGTGGGGACCGGGTGGGCAGCACGCACCAGGTAATTGAGAGGACTCTGAGCTCACCCCTAGGCCGAGAATGCCCGGGGTCCACCTGGGATGAGGCCGCCCAGATTTCAGCACCAAGTGGAGGACAGCACCTAAGGGGATTAGCGAAACCCAATCACCCTTCCCCCAAGTTCTCGGTTTAATTGGAAACTCGAGCCGTCTACTCTGTTGGTGTGAAAGGGTGACATTGCCCAACCGCTTCTCTGCTTTCAGCCTGTCCCGGCAACCCCTCTATCCTCCTCCCACGGGAGGCAACCGCAGGGAAGCCGCGGAATAAACACGGAGACCAGAGAGAGACATTGAGAAAGCACAGGGTTAGAGGCAAACACAGCGGACGACACTCGCTGGCTCAAGGTGACCCTTTCCTTAGAACCAGGAAGAGGACCAAGGCGCCTCCTTGCTACACTTGGGTTTTCTTTTTCAGGGCTGGTGAAGGGTTCCCTGAGAGGAATCAGAGAAACAATAAGAGAATCTTACCCCATCTATGCTTTGCTCCCACCCCTCACCCCCCACTTAGGCCCCAAGTCTGAAGCCCTACTGTTTCCTGCCTCCACCTCATGATCCCTTCAGTTTTGTCTTCTTCCTCCACCTTTCAACCCATTCCTTCTTTACCTTTGATCTTTTACTTCTCAGTGTCTTTTCCAGGCTCAGACCTGTTTGCTGCTCAAGTCGTAGGACTCCCTCTGAGTATTCTCTGTAAGCTTGCTTACCCCTTGGTTGTAATGGGCGTGTGACTGGGGTTGGGCAAGGAATAGTTAGCTTCCTCTTCCTCCCCTCCCTTTTTTTCCTTCTCTTTGGCTCCCAGCTCCTGGACTGAGCAGAGAGCAAGGTGAGGTGAAGGGTGTGGTAAGATGACTGGGTGTGGGAATGGAACAGGTAGGCACAGGTCTCCAGGCACCACATGTAAGTTTTTCCTCTCTTGGTTCCCTAATGTTGTTTAATCCCTAGTTTAAGGCAAATGGTGTCCAAGGACACGGGGTCACCAGGGAATGTCCACCTTCCTCGTGGTCCCTTTTCTCTCTCCCCTCACCAGATGTATATTCAGATTTGGGAGGGCTTTCTCCATACAGTTCCAACTGCGACCTGGGTGTGACGTGTGACTTTAATCTGGCATAGGAGAGTGAATGCTGGAGCTGAACTAGAACTGTGTTAAGGTGGGGTAGGCCTTAGTCCCTTCTCTCAGCTAAAAAAAAAAACCAAACTTGCCATTGACTCAGATCCTACTCACAGCAATCCCTCCTTGGGTTTCTGAGGTGGTATCACTATGGAAGTAGATTGTCCAGTCTTCCTTCCAAGGAGTGGCTGGCGGGTTCGAACCACCAGCCTTCTGGTTAGCAGTGAAATACCTATGCAAGACAGTAAAACACTTGGAATTTTTTTTTCCTGACACTTGGAAATCTTAAGACAGAGTATTTGAGGAAGAGGAATGCCCTTCATGTAGTCCTTGACCCCACTGATGAGACCCACCTGCATACCCATACTCTTATTTCCTTGGTTCTTCTCAAACTGCTCTTGTGTTCTTTTTTTGGCCTACTTCATTTGTGTAGGAGCTCTGGTGGTGTAGTGCCTAAGGCATTTGACTGCAAACCAAAAGGCTGGTGGTTCAAACCTACCAGCTACTCCTGGGAAGGAAGGTTGGACAATCTATGTCCGTAATGATACCACCTTGGAAACCCAAGGAGGGATTGCTATGAGTTGGATTTGACTCCATGGCAGTGAGTTTGGTTTTGGTTTTGGTTCATTTGTATGTCTCCTCAAAAGCCATCCACCTCTCTTCTGGGTCTATCACTTAACTCCTTCCTCCAGTAAGAGAGTAATTTATCAGAGAATAGGTAGAGTTCTATAGTTGGAATGACCTCATTCTTGGTGAGAGAGAAAATATTACCTGTGCTGTAGAGGCTCCTTATCTAGGTGAAGAAGTAGCTATGAGTAAGTGAATGTAAAAACATGAATTGGTGTATATTTACCCAGGTAAAGGATGGAGATAATGTTCCAGAGAAGTAGGGCTGTTATTTGATTAAGAGGGTGGCTACTAAGATAAAGTGGTGAGGGATGGAAAGGGAGAATTACCAAAAGAGAACTAAGACTTTCCCAGAGAAACAGAAATTATTTCGATTTGGAGAGTAGCTGCCAAGATTTGAATAGCTCCACTAAGAAAATACAAGTATTTGTGTACTTTTCTTATTCCCTTTTAGACTGTGAGCCTCTGATAGGCATGTACTGTAACAACTGTTGTTATGTGCCATCGAGTCGGCCCTGACTCATAGCGACCCCTCCTTGGGTTGCTGAGGCAGTATCACTGTGGAAGTAGATTGCCTAACTTTCCTTCCAAGGAGTGGCTGGTGGGTTTGAACTGCCAGCTTTCTGGTTAGCAGTCGAGTGCCTTAGGCACTATGCTACCAGAGCTCCTACTGTAACACTACTCATTTAAAAAAATTATCCTACAACATACAGGAAATAATACATATGACATTTCATTTATTTAATAATGATAATTATTAGCAATAATATTTTAAAATTTCTAAATTACTTTACAATTACAGGGAACTTTTATACATACTGTTTCATTGAATTGTTCCAGTTCATGACTAGGGATTGAGTCTACATTTTTGGAGAACAAGAAGAGGCATTAATTATCTGGAAGATACTATAATAATCTGTTTGAATGGTTGGAATGGTGGAGGGAGGTGTGAACCTGCATACGAACTAGGGAGGCATCTAGTTCCCTTAGGGCCAATTCTTAGGATCAGCTCTATTCAAGAGGGTTCCTGGCTCAGAAAAATGGGTAAACTGACTGAAAGCAGCAAGGTCCCTAAGAATGCAGAGAAGAAACTGGGAACTTGGAACTATCCTGATCAGTGACACCTGTCCTGACCAAGTGAGGATGCAAGGAAAATAACAAGAACATTACAAACATATAAAACATGCTTTTATGTAATCAGTACCCTGTGAGTTAGATTTTAGGTTTTAATTCCATTCTTACAGGTGGGAAAACAGAGACTCAGAGAAGTTAAGTGATTTGCCCAAGTCTACACCGCTATTAAGGGCAAGGCCAGGATTCAAAGCCAAGTTTGTTTAGCTCTCAATCTGGAGGGTAGAAAGCAAGCAAGATGTGGGTGTAGAGATAGCAACCAACTTGCCTAGTCTGATATGTCCATTCATCTTCTTATCTCCTTTATAAATGCACTTGTTTCTTCCTTGAATTTTCTGATCTGGTTCCCTCTTTGCTTTTGTTTTTCTCTCCAGTTTCCCTGTTACTTCTCTTTGAGGTTGTTAACATTCTCAACCTACATTTATTGGATCTTTACGTGTATCAGATCCCATTTTGTCTTACAAATGAAACGGAAGATCTATTTTTGCCCTCAAGAAAGTGTAATGGCACAAATTCTGCCTCTTCTCTGCATCTTGCATTTTCCCCCCTTAAGAGAACGTCAGCGTCTAGACCAAGCGTCTGGGCTGTGGCGACGCAGTAATAAATCAGAGGAAGGGGAGCATCAGGTTGCACTTTCCCCTCAGAGCCACTAGGGGCTACCCGCCTCCTCTCAGAAGCGCCGGCCAACTCAGCCTGACTCTGTTGCCGGTGCGCGCCCTCTGCTGATTGGTGGCACTTCAGGGAAGTCGCACTTTGATTGGGCCGCTGTCAGGTGTCGCTGCCGGCAGGTTCGGCTGTGCGAGCGGAGGGAGGCGGGTGAGTGAGGGCCGGGGGCGGTAGGGGAG